GTTCATTTACTTTACCTTGCACAATGAATGATTGCTAAATCTATACATAAAATAAATAAATAAATACCTAAATAAATAAATAAGAAAAAAGGGGGGGGGGGAAAACAGACCACAGCCTGTTGGCTGTCTTTTTATACTCAAAATGTATTAACATGTGAAGATAAACTATTTTGAAACTGAGATACTGTGACACAACTGAAAAATGTACAGTGGTGTGAAAAAGTTTTTGCCCCCTTCCTTTTTTTGCATATTTGTCACACTTGTATGATTCAGATCATCAAACAAATTTTAATATTACACAAAGATAACCCGAGTAAATACAAAATGCAGTTTTGAAATAATGATTTCATTCATTAAGGGAAAAAAGCTGTCCAAACCTTCCTGGCACTACGTGAAAAAGTAATTGCCCCCTAAATCTCATAACTGGTTGTGCCACCCTTTGCAGCAACAACTGCAATCAAGTGTTTGCGATAACTGGCAATGAGTCTTTCACATCGCTGTGGAGGAATTTTGGCCCACTCTTCTTTGCAGAATTATTTTAATTCAGCCACACTGGAGGGCACATTGGGGAATGCAGCCTGCATGACCGGTGACTGAAGCACGTGTGATACAACACCAGTCTATTGGTCTACATGGCCCATGACGTCATAGGCAGGGTGCCCGGAAGTATAAAAGGACACCTGCTGAATACGTCTTCCTCTTTGCAGTCTTCAGGAGCCGTCTGTTTGAAGTGCGTGTGATAGACCGTTTAAGATGTTTTTTTGGGGTTATCGGATCCCGCGGATAGCGCTGGAGCTGAGCAGCTCCTTAGGGAATGTGTGCCTCCGTGTTTGGATTCCAACACTCGAGGGCATGTTCTGCTTTCGCGTTTGTCTCGGCGAAGAGCACGCGCGTTCAGAGTTACGCGCTCATCATGATGAGTCACAATGTCTAGGCTCCGCTTGCGTTTGTTCCTATTCCCGAGGGATGCAGGACAAAGCTTTTGTGGCTCGTGGACCGGTTCTGCCGTTGCCGCGGCACAGTTTATCTCACCTCACGGTCATTGCTTAGATCTGCGGGATCCGCACACCCTCTTTAAACAGGTTGTCAGATGCCACGGATACTATTGGGTTGTTATGACGATGAAGTGTGAGTACTGAGTCATTTCAGCCTGATCCTGTGAGATCGTGGGCGGAGCTATATTCCGCTTGGCCGTTCCTCTCTAATATGCATGTTATTGTTTGAGGAGAGCCTTGCTGGGCGTGAATATATTTAAATACTCTGTGGAGAGAGGCTTGCCAGCTTTCTCTCCCAGGGTGTTTCAGCGCCTTGAGTGGTTATGGGGAATGTCTCTTCCTGTGTTAAGCCAGAGTGTAGCCATCTGTGGATGGTTATGCTCCAGCTCAAGCTTACTTTGCTCTGGAATATGGTGGTCTGAGGGCAGCTATGTTCTAGCCTAGCTTCTATAACCAGGTTGGATTCCCCTTGGCACAAGTTCTCAAGTAAGCGCTGAAGTCTTTGTCTAGGAATCTGATATTCTAGGATAGCTGTGTTCCAGTTTGGAGACTGCTCCCCTTTTAGGGTTTTAAATTGTGGTCTCCGTGAGCCCCTTGCCTGGACTGTGCTGTCTCCCCTTTGGGGTTTTAAGTAGATGGCCCACTTCCGTGGTCTGGGCAATCTTCAGCCTTATCTGAGGGAACTGCTATTCGAGGATAGCTGTGTCCAGCCCTCTAGTGTTATGGCCACTGCTTGCATCAGACTTTGATGTTTATGTGTTCGCTCTTTAGCGAATCATTTACTAATGGTCCGGATCTCCCTCTTGTGAGCTCCTGGTCAATAGCACGGTGCTTCGCTAGCCTACTGTGGGACTGACATGGATTGGGGACCTCCTTAGTATAGCAATCTGAGGGTGGTTATATTTCAGCCATTGTTTATGGCAGGACGGGCTTACTTGAAAACAGCTATCTGAGGCTAGCTGTGTTTTACTGGCAGTGCAGTGAGCCCTCTCCTGGAGTGGTCCCCTTTCCTAGAGCCTAGCTATCTGAGGATAGCAATGTGTTAGCTCAGTTATTGCTCCCTTTCTTAGGGTTTTTAAGTAGCGGTCTCCTTGAGCCCTTGCCTAGACAGTGCCATCTCCCCTGTTAGGGTTGCAAGTAGATAGCCCATTCTCTGTGGTCTGGGCAGCTCTGCAGGAAGGCTATCTAGGCTAGCTGTGTATGTTATTCTGGTCTACAAGCCTTCATAAGACCTTTAGGATATAGCTATCTGAGGATAGCTGTGTTCTAGCTCAACAGCTACTCTCATTACTTGGGATTTAAGCGATTTCTAATTAGGGTTAGGGTTAGAGGCTTTCTAATTAGCCTCTTCAGTGGTCTTGTGTATCCAGGCTAGTATTGCTCACATAGCATAGCTATCTGAGGATAGCTGTGTTCCTACTTGGGTAGGATGTTCCCCTTGATTTATTCGGGTTCCCCCATTTCTGCCAAGTTGCGTGAGCGGCCCGTGGCGTCAGGCATGCACCTCGGCATGGCGTGGTTGGATTTCGTTCCCCAATGTGCCCCCTAGGGGGCGCAGCGTGGAGTTCCCTAGAAGGGGAATGTCTCGGGTTACGCGTGTAATCATGGTTCCCCGAGAGGGAGCGAGACGCTGCGCCCCCTCACCATGCCTTTCGGCCTGCCTGTTTACGTCTCCTTCAGACAACTAAGTTGGTGACGTATTCAGCAGGTGCA